CAGCAACCCTCACAGCTGCATGGAACATTGAGGAACAGCCTCCATGCTGGTTTAAGCTCACTGTCTGTGTCTTACGGCACTTTTTCACCGAACTGAGCACTCTCTGATTTCACAAGACATATAAAATGATTATGCGTAACACCATACAAGTTCCAGTGTTACAAAATTTACGAAAATACACTCCATTGTTGGAAATGGGGTGCAGAAAGGGCCTGAAATGTTAGATTAGCCCAATTTCAGCCCTGAAAATGACAATATAAACAAAGAATAGTCTCGATATGGGTAGTTTAGAATCGTTGGGGCTGAGTAAGGAACTCAAAAATGAGCGGCTTTACTGGTAATGGACACAAAGTGATGTACAAATAGCACCACCCTAAGTCAGAAGGTGACTCAGGGGACATTAGTTAATCAGCCAGTTGTTCTTACAGTAGGCCAATATACTTAATATACCTGTCACTTTGATCTTTTGAGATGTTAAAATGACACGACAACTCAACTTACTGCAATGGAGCAGTACCACTGTATTACACGATGCACAGGGTACACAGTATGTAGCTTATACTGTATATATGGTCTGGAAAGCTAAGATGAAAAAGCACTTGAGTATTAGGTTTCAGGCAATAAAGCTACACCCTCATGTCTTCCACAAAACTCTTTCACCCAAAACATGTCCCTTTTTCATGAGTTTTATGTCCTCAGATAGATATGAAGTGGAGGAATGGGATCAGTAAGACCTGTGAGTTGGCCAGCAGTGACCTGGAGAGCAATAATGAAACCTGCTGTGCATTTGTAGCTGTGCTGTAGCGGATATGGTGCACTGCAGCTGCAGCCTGACTTCTTGTGAGACAGACAGAAAACCACCAGAGATGAGTGCTGAGTCGTCATACTGGTCTGCCAAAGGGCTCTCTGCTTCTCCTGTTAGAGCATGATCTGCTATCGTTGCTTTGGACAAAGGCGTCTACTAAATAAAAATTAATGTAAATGTTTATCACTCTTGTAGAGCCTACTTTACATGCAGGCAGGAAGAGGGATGATTCACTGAGCGGCTCTAAGACATTATGGGTGTACTGGACAACTGAAGCGAACTCACCCCGGGAAAACTAGAGAATAAAGGGACCACAAGGGATCTGTTACGCCCACGGAGGCGGGGATGGACAGGGGCAACTCCTCTTTAGCCGATTAGTTCTCCTTTAAAAAGACGGAAGGAACACTCGGCTAATTGCGAAGTATTGAGCCGATGAAAAGACGCCTTGCTGAGCATTCTCTTGTCGTCCGTCTTCCCAATCTCCCTTTCCTTACCTGTTTGCCTACCGTTAGACCCTCACCTTCTGTGCCTTCCTTCCTCAGCCCAGCTCCCATCCCTAAATCACCCGTCCTGCTGAACCCGGCATCTCCCGTCCTCCAGCCCTCCTGTTCCTCCGTCCTGTGCATCTCCGTAGGACTGACCTCCCAGCTGCTGAACCCTGCTTCTGAACACCAACCCCGACTCTCGCCCACCGTCTTCAACACTGTGTGCCGGATCTACGCCTCAAGAGAGGCCCCGCTCTTCTGCACAGCCGCTTCGCTCTCAGGAGCGGCTGTGTCTCCCCTCAGGAGCGGTACGGGAGATCTATCTGTCCGGACTTACCTGTCACTCACCTTAATAAACATCGGCTGTCCTTGCATACCAGGATCCATGTCTCTCTCCCTCCCTTTCCGTGGCAGGATCAAAACAAACAGGAAACCAAACAGACTAAACTAAGACCATGAACTAATGACCATAAAGAAACTAAGCAGACAAATGGAACAAAACCATGGAAAACAGCGCAATACCAGGAACAAAAGTAGAAACCAGGCAGCATAAAGTAAGCACAAACCCACAAACAATAACATCTACACAATGACTGACTACAGAACCGAGCAGGGCAGGCACTTAAATACACCAAGACAACCAGGCTAATAAAGGAGCAGGAGTGGAACATGACCAGCCTTGTGCTCTCTTCCCAGCATTGTGTTGGAGGCCCAACACATCGCATGTGTTCGTCCATTTTATGAAATAATGAGTTTTGTGGGGGAGGGCGTGACTGTAGGTTTTGTGGTTCCAGGAACTAAAACTCCCGTGCTCTTTGACTGTTATATCATAAAAATGAATAAAATAAATACAATGAACAGTAATACAGTACAGACGCTCCTCTACTTAAGAACGTTCAGACATACGACCAAAGAGGACTGTAAGTCCAAATTGTGTTCCTTGGGTTCTTGTTTCCTGTCCGCAACATCAATTTTTTTTCTGGACGCCATTTCTGCCTCGTACGACTTCTGGTCGCTACTCCCGCCGCGTAGCAGCGTAGCGTGCGAACTCCCAGCAGCGTAGCGTGCGAACTCCCAGCATCCTAGTTCTTTATACTTGCGTATACCCGTAAAATTATGTTGAATAGCGACTTATGAACATTTCAAGTTACAAACGGCCGTTCGGAACGTAAATCATTTGTAAGTAGAGGAATTTGTTTACTACTTTTCCATGCAGTGACGGTGACATATAAACTATGACTCGTGTATCATGGTAATAGAATTTAGTGATTAATTGTCGTTGTTGACACAACAACGAAATGTGTTCTCTGCATTTAACCCATATGTGACATAGCAGTGGGCAGCTAATTCAGCGCCCGGGGAGCAGTACCTTGCTCAGGGTACCTCAGTGGTGCCTTGCTGGTCAGGGATTCAAACCAGCAATCTTTCAATTTTGAGTGTGCTTCCCTAACCATTAAGACACCACTGCCCAGAATATGCCATATAATGGGAATTCCTTATTAATAACTGTTTTCAGCTGCATAACAAACACAGGTGATAATGTCAGGTGAATATTTTACTTGACCCATTTTCATTTCATTATAATAACAATAAACATAAATAATATAGTTGACATATAGTTCAAAATACAGGGTGGGTGGAACTAGCACGTGCTGCGATAAGCAAAAATAAAGCCTTAAAGTGCCTTAAACATTGTTGTGAGAATGGTTCCCTGCTTTGGGGTGGTCATGTATTATTTTCAATGTAACCTTTCAGTCCAGTATAGTCTAGTCTTTACAGACATTAGAATGAATACATATTTCTTTAAGTAAGGAGTTTAAGAAGGATAAGAGCTGAAGGTTTCAGGAAATTCACGAATGCCAGGCATACCTGCAAATAAAGCCATCGGATGAGAGTGATACCGCCTCAGAGCTGTACTTTGGACCCTTGTTTTTGCTTCTGGGTCTGTTAATATTCCAACACCGTGAGGAGATTTTAGATTCCCCTCCCCTCTGAGTGCGCCAGTACCGCTCACCACACTGTACAAACGAAGGCGTTAAGACAACCTAAAATATCAAGGCAACTTACTGCACTAGATTTTTGAATTTTGAGGACTCAAACTTATTGTTGTGACAACAAATTATTTTTTATTCAGGTACTTTATCTTTCATATCTATAAAAACTTCTAATTTTTAGTTTTATATACTAAGAATTACAAACAACAAAAGTTGTGCCAAGCCAACTTATTCTCTTTTGTTCAGATGATTTATCTTTCATATGCGTAAAAACTTTAAAATTAAACATGCTAAAAATTCAAAACCGCAAAATATGTGCTAACTCATTATTATAAATGAAGATTACAAAAAAGTTCAATTAGCATGTTTATGATAGCACACACATTTTGAGGATCCCTGTGGGGAATGATAGCAAACCTGCCCCTGTTGTGGTGCCTAGGTAGCTGGGGGTCACAGGCCTTGCTCAAGAGCCCCCATATGTGCTGATGCTGGGTTTGAACTGGAGATCTTTATTCCATGAAGCAAGACTTAGCTCACAGAGCCACATGCTCAAGTGTATGATGCATAAGCTGAATAAGGTGCTGACACAAAAACACTGTTTATAGTTTTATAACTGTTCAGAATTTTGGCAGCGTCCCAGTTCAGAAGAGGTACTGTAGCATGTAGCTCAGTGGGTTAAACCTCTGTGCCTCTGACCAAAAGATTGTCAGTTCAAGTCCAGCACATATTTGGGCACTGCAACAGGTGAAGCCTTAGCATATACTAAACTCATGTTTTTAAGTCTTTACACATATGAAAGATAAATCTTAAGAAAAGACAATAGGTTGGACCAACTTTTGTTGTTAGCAATCCTTAGTATGTACAACTAAACATTTGAAGTTTTTATAGATATGAAAGAGAAATTATTTGAACGAAAAATAATTACTTGGCATAACAATAGGTGATTTTCATAAAAACGTCTGTTGCCCTCAAAACTAAAAAATCTGGTGTGGTAAGTTGCCTTGAAATTTTAAGTTGTCTTAACTTTCTCTTTTTTACAGTGCACAAACTCAGCATGTTTAAGCCAGAATGTTGTCAATGCTAATATAATGAAGCTACATCATCCTCCAATGTCCGCACACTCTACACAGATATTATAATCCATTTCCAAGCCTTAACTAGCGATTGTTCTGCGATACCTGTGCCATTATCAAAGTATTGAACATTTGATAAACATGGAGAGGTGGCTGTGTGCTGCACTGCTGCCTAATCCTAACCCTTCCATGGTTCAATCAAATCCCCCCTCCCCCAAACTCCCTGTGTGGAGTTTGTGTGGCTTCGCCAGAAACAGATGCTTTGCTAAACGGGGGTGTCCTGTGACATACCGGTATCTTGCCCTGCGCTAGGCTCCCGGCCACCCATCACCCTGCACTGAAGTGTTTGCAGGACAGATGGGCGGATAAATATGGACATTCACTTGTAAAATATTACGTCTTAGATCGTGGCCTTGATCACTTAAATGTAAAGATGTAATGGCTGACAGGGTGAGTATCATTTTAGAGTATATGTAAGTATTATGTCTTTCCATACATTTCAGTACAAAATCGGCATGTACTTTTACGGCTTTAGAGATCAGATGAAAGCGCTGTTGACCCGAATTGCCCTTAGTATGAAGGAAATTCCCCCCACTACCAACGGGACTTTTGTGGGTGGGGCATTTGCATTTAACTAGAGCGCATCTGAATGCTGGGAGGGAAACTACAGTATAAACATTTCAGTGGGTCTGAGATCGTTACATGACGGAGCTGTGTAAGCTTTAAATCCTGATCACCGATCACTGCCGTGCTTTTAATGTAAAAGCAAGTTTTGCTTATCGGCAGTGATTTTCGTGCCACTGAAACAGGCAAAGACTATATGTTAATGCGAACCATGCAAGCACCTCTCTCCAACGACACACTGCAAAACATAACACTGCCGGTGGAGGACTGGACAAACGTAAGTGTTTATGCATGTCAGTCAGGAAGATTAATTAAAGTTTAATTATTGTAATCGGGATCATATTGAATTAGTTGCAGTTGAAATGTTATCGGAAGCGAAGCACTTGCAGTCAATTTCTTATTTTTTCAAGTTTAGAACTATATATATTTAATTTAAAACACAGTCGCATATCGTCGTGCCGCCGTTTCTATTTAGAGTACAGCTTTGCAGTTGCTTTTGAATGCAATGTCGATCGTGCCATAAATATGTTTTTCTTATCAATTACCATGTCAAGCAGTAAAACAGACGTTTTCTGATAATCTTAGGTGTATTGCCGTGTTTATGATCCATTTTTAATTGTTATTACGGTTGTGAGAAATTGCCGAAAGAGGATGTTTGCTGACAATTAAGTATTTTACCATAATTTTTATTTTCTGTTGTCAAGGCGTATGCGGCAGTACAATGGATACAGTTGATCATGGCGATACTAAGGTAAAGAAGTTGCACCACGAAATAAATATAGCTTTTTCATATAGGACTATTCTTTTTTTTTTTTTTTTAGAAATTAATTGTTCGAATTTTCTCTTCTAGTATTTGTGGTTCTGGGTCCATCATTGTTTACACAACTTTCCAGAATCTAACTGGAACAAGTGAGGTTGGTAACTGACTTTCTGAAGTTTCTACGATGATTCTGCTGTGATAAGCATGTATGGTGGTTAATCCTGCGTTCATCCCGTAGCAAATTTCTCCCTATGCAATTCCGACTTTCTCAAAAATGCATCTTCAAAGTATGAAATCTTACTGCGTATTTGCTGTCATAAATATTGTTCAATGTTCGTTATTCACGATTTGTTATTCTTATGATTCCTCATTTTTTTGCCCTTGTTTCATAATGCTTCAAATGGTTAAATTCATCTTATACATTTTAATATTAAATTTTTGCATTGATACTCATGGGGTTAACAATTAGTTAAATTCGTAAAGCAGACATGACAATTAAACAAAACTGCAGAAGATGTTTTAGAGATTTAGGCTTTCCGCTTTGCAATTGCCGGAGTACGTCTTCAGCTTACTGCCGCTAAAGGAAGGTGGTTTCTGCACAGGAATTGTCTGACTGATGTCTCTCTGTTGGGAGAAAATGTGTAGGATGAGGAGAATGCAGGAGTGAGAGCTGGGCGACTCTGATCGGCTTGGTTTCTCTTTTCATTTTCTAACTCGACCTGCAGGTCCGTCCGCTGCTCTTCCTCTGCCTGGCGGATCTCTTGCTGGCTCTGAGCTGGCTCGTCGGGGCGCTGCTTTTCACACAGCCCCACACCAGTCCCTGTGCCTGCCAAAACCTGCACACTGTCGAACAGGTCAGTGGGCCCCAGTCGCACATTCACATTCACTCTTTTTAACTGCAACTTAGGCCACGTAAATGATGGAAAAACTGGGAAAAACTTTCTTTGTAATATATTACTATATTATTTTCCTCTATTCTTGCTCTACTCCTGGCCTGATAACCTAATGATAAAAGTTAACAGTTTTGCTTCTCTGTGAAAGTTGTCCTGAAATATGTGCCTCTGTTTGTTTCCCACTCAGAGAAGAATATAATTGTCCAGGCTGCGAGTTTGTGGTGGTGCTGTAGTGTGTGGTGTGGTACTGCGCTGTGTTGGACGCTGTTGGTTTTGGGAACATCTGTGTTGGATTTAACCAGATGGATTCCATGTCCAGTGACTCACTAAGTGTTGCACTAAGAGTCACATGTAATGGAAGCTGGAATGTGTGTAAACGTTATAACTTAAATGTAACTTAACCATAATAATGCTATAAAGCTGTATAAAATCTCTGAAAATGACCTATTAGCAGCTCGTGAAATGCCTTCCAAGATATTGCTGGCTAAAAAACTAATAGCAGACCGTAGCCAGACATGTATAATCAGCTGAGAAATGCAACAAGCACATCATACAGACCTTGTCTATTTTTTATGTTTGGTACAACCATTTGTCTGATCCACTTTGTTATATTTCCAAAGATGTTTCACCCACCACCCAGCAAGAGAAAAGTAGGGCAGCCCGCAAAATGAAGTGAGGCGGTAAATCTGTGCCCCTTCCCACACTCACGTTTTGATGGTGGCACTGAAGAGGTGTATGTTGCTGACCCACTTTGCTTGATGGTGGCACTGAAGAGGTGTATGTTGCTGACCCCCTTTGCAGGCCTCCTGTATGAACCAATCACAGCCCCATTTTCACTAGGGCCACCTAGTTGTAGATTCAGGGAAGCGCCGGAAAGATGTCAGGATGGAAATATGCGAAAAATAGTGACAGCACACTGAATGTGCTCTCCACTGCCACGAAAGCAGTGTGAACAGGAAGAGATTAAAAGGTGCAGGAGTCTTAGAAAAGCATAGCATCCCCAATGCACTGGCTGTTTTACTGACTTACTGCTTATGTAACTCTTGCTCTGTCAGTGAGATTCCATCAACCCAACATGCATGCAATACATGCCTGTATGTATGCAATGTGAAAATATCACGTCACATGCTGGTGTTAATCATATGTGAAGCAGAATGGCACTCATCATTCTGGTTGGTCTCGTTCTGCTGGCACTCATGCGAACGACTCTCCTCTCTGAGTTCTTATCAAGGGGTTCCAGACGTCACTGACAGTCCTGAAAAGTCCCGGGGTCATTCCAACGCTAGTCACTGGGATGCATCTAATATGTTTGTCCCCCTAGTCACTGGAAGTTTTTTTTTTCTCAATAATTTCACTGGAATTGATTTTGCTGGCAAAGTGCAGTGTCCATGAAGGAAATGTCCAAGATGTTTTGGCATATGGTGTCAGACTAAGTCATGCTGTACCCTAGTACACGCAGGCTGGCAAATTCTCATATTCAGCTAACATGTTTATGTTGCATAGCACTGCTGATTTGTAGGACTCTGACACCCAGCCTGAAATGTGACAGTTAATTATATTTCAGTTATAGTTACTCACATGTATTCTTATAGAATGTAGGTACCAGGACCTGTCATGACCCTGAGCAGTTAGGAGATGATGGATGGATGGATATTTTATACAATGTGTGAATTTTTATTATTCTAGGCATTCTGCATGATCTCACAAAGGGAAGAGGGTAGAAACAGCCCCCCCCCTATTTGAATGATTGTGGGTGTGGCTAACATGTCCCTGAATAACTTTTGGCTTTTAAAGTCTGGACACAGAAGCGTAGGGCTTACAGTGACAAGTCCCCTCTGCATTGTGCTGGTACCGTGCCCCCCCAGTAGGATATCCTGTGCCCACACCTCACTCCCTGGAGGGGCAGAGACATTGCGGGGGTGAGGGGCAGAGACGGCCCAAAGCTCTGACACGCCGTTTCCAGCTTCCTGCTGGGTGTGTAATTGTTTGCAGCAGAGATACTGGGAAACGCCGCGTTGCACGGTACGCCAAAGCCCGAAAAAATTGCCATTTTTATTTGCCAGGAGCAAGTGCAGTGGAGACATTTCTAATGGCACTGGAACAATTTCTGTCTTGTGTGCATGGTCGCAGTTAACCTGATGTTTTTCATGCTAATAAACATCTCATACCTACTGAAGCAGTCTAATGCAGAACAAAAATGGCACCTGGCAGCTGGTGTCTGTGAAATCAGCTCTCCAGACCTGTGTCTACGGAGCTCCTGCAGATTCCCTTACCTGATTATTTCAGGGCCGGTTAGATAACCACACACAGGTCATCAGCTATGACGTTTCTGGAATTCACTTTAGGGCTCCATTTATGAAGCTACCATACCTTTTCTGAGAAGGTCTTCTGTTTAACAATCATGGTGAACCCAGCTGCTTTCATAATGATGTCATAATCCACATTCACCTGTGTGTCCTTTACATGGTATCTTTGTCCACAGATCTTCTACATGTCCTCCTTCTTCTACACCCTGAATTATGTGTGGGTGCTGTACAGGGGTCTGAAGGAGAAGTACTGCAGAAGGCTGAATGGCTGCCCCGCACAGGTAGGACCAGCAACCTGCTGCACTGTGTGACTGAACAGCAAAGAAATCCCAGCCTGTCACCCGCCATGTTTAGCGCAGAGAGTCACTGATATGCAGCATAATCGTGAAGAAAAATCACGTCGTATTTCAAAGGTTTTTCCTCATACCTCCATTGTTGTGGCTGCCAGGTTCAGTCTGCATGCTCGTTGTGTGGGTTTATACAGGGATACCACATTTTTACAATCCAAAAAATGCTCTTAACTTCTTCAGCCACTGTTAATATAACCTAAATATGGGTTTTTCCTTGCTATTTAAACTGGTCTTTGTTTTTACATTATAAATTAATTTAAAATGCTATGTGCATGTAATGTTAACAAACGCAGAACCCGTGAAACCTTCTCCTGTTTGGGCTGGTCCTTTCTGTGGCGAGTGCAGCAGCTTTCCCTTTTAGTTAAGATGCCCTTCTGACTGGTGCCTGCATGACGTGTAAGACAACACAAATGGGGAAGCTCCTTTCCCTAAACCACGGTCCTAACATGGTTTATTTTACCTCCCTTTCAGTTCCCTGAAGGCACATTTGGCAGGATCATGGTTATCTTGTCATGGTGAGGAGAGATTTTTTTCTTAAACATATTTACAGTAAACCATACGTTAAATATACCTGCTGTGGTGGGAGTATGATTGCTTTATGTTCTGTCCTGTAACATCTAGAGCGACAGTAATACTTGGCTTATTTTCAATCCATACATATTAATTTCCTAATTTGCTTGTAACGATGTGTGTAACCCCAATCCTGCTGCGAAATTATCTAAATCATTTTGCATATCAATCTACACAAAACTGTTATAAAAACACAGAATGTGAAGATGTCAGTTTGCTAAAATTTTGTTAATATTTAAATGTGGAGTTTTAAGAGAACACTTATCCCTTATCACATATGTCTTACCTTTCTTATTCATTGGCTATTATTTGATAATGATTGCATGTTCCCTCTCTCACCCCTGTACACACACATACACACACACACATACTTGATACTTAGTTTTGAAAGGCAATAAGATATTTTACAGGTTTACTTTTGTTTCTATTCGAAAAACCTGCAAATTATAGCTTAATAAATGGATTTTCTCAGTGGTACAACATTATTGCCCTCACTGACACTCAGGTCAGTCTTCAGGTCATTCAGGTCTCTCATTTATTGTCGCCTGTACTCTGTACTACTGCATTAATAGGGCCAGATGGTGGCCGAGCTCCCAGCTGTATAGCTTTATCTCTGTCTGCTTGCAGCGTGGTCCCTGTGCTGCTGATGATACCAGTGTTTGCTGTGAGCAACTCTGACCAGTGCTTTGCCAACTTCAGTCAGCCTTACAAGTAAGTTCATCAGTACCTTGTATCTATCTGTAACTAGAACTGTAGCCTTTCCAGTTTAAAATTCTGAATCTTTTCAAGAAAGCATAATAATATGAAGTAATACTTGCTCAGTGCTTTCTTCATTATGTCTTGAAGACTACATTCACAGTTTATGGATTCATGATGACAAACTCAGTGTTAACAATCAGCTTCTCATTGTCATAAGAAAGGTCCAATCAGATTGACCAATTTGTTGACTGTTCTCCTTCTTACCTCTAATTGGTCAGGTGCCTCCTAATGCACACAGAAGCACTGTACCCAGCCTCCACGAGCTCCGAGGAGCCCCTGCCTTGCCGTCTCATTCATATCTACACTATTGCCATCTTCCTGGCTGCCTTCTTCTTCACGTTTGTGGGCGTCGTGGTGCGTATCATCTGGCTGGCTTTTGCCAAAATCTCCAAAATGTTTCTAGCACTTTTGCACAACTTTACAGGAACAAGTGCTGGAGTAAACGAGATACCAGGACAGATAAACTGTAATATATTGAGTCTTTAGTTGTTATTTTGTATATGGATGAATATATGAATTCTGATTTTGTCAATATGTATTACCTGTTAATAATTCACACCATGATCAGATCTGCCCCTAGCCAAGCCAATATCGCACATGCCCTGTGGGGTCTGTTGCTCAGGATCACTGTGGCGTCATTCACCTAGGTGCTCATGGGAAAGGCTCGCTCCCTCTACTGCCGCTGCATCAGCTCCAGTGGTTTCTGTGGCAGCCAGCAATGGGCCACGCTCCGCGTCCTTGAGCGACGCATGCTCCTGTACCCCTCGGCCTTCTTCTTCTGCTGGGCCCCAGGTAAGGCCGCCCCACCACCTCCATGACCACCATCCAGACACAAATAGCTATAATCGCTGTTTTAACTTTATGAACCCTTTAGCATGGTATTCTGCTAGACTTCATGGAGCAGCTCAACTCAGTCACCATCCTTTTACATGTTAATATAATGCTGCAGTACTGCTGTTGCAATGGTGGAATTAGATAAACAGAAAGGAAAATGGATCAATTGTTACTTTATATTACTGTCTAAATTTTGGACTTCGGAGCCCGAGGAACAATTGATTATAACTAGGCCAGCCGTCGTCATTCAGCCAGCCAGCTGACCCAGACTGACCTTCGCTGTTCTCGCTTTGCGGCCACTCAGCCATCTTCCTCGCCGCTGCCATCCTGTTCAGTCCCAGGCTGCTGGAAGGAGGTGTGGGCGTCTCTCTCTACATCCTACAGGTAAACGCACCATCAGCTCTGTGTCATTTAACATCATTTCAGCTTCTCTGTAGATCCTACAAGTGTCACCTACCTGCCCACCTACACAACAGTGCATCTGGTTTAATATGCATAAGCAGATAGATTTTAATTATAAAGCATATAGAGTACGGCGGCATGGTCTTCCAGTTAGAAGGTCCAGCTCCTTAAAGACTTCGCTACCTTCAGGTGTCGAGGAATGAAACAAACGTGAACATACGAATAACCTGTAGACTCCACATTACTTTAAGTGTTTTTTTTTGACGGTACATTTCCTCCAGTGTAGAAATCATCATTCTCACCTCAGTGCCACATGCTCCTCGGTTGAGTCTAACTGGACTGGTAACGTCCACGTTTCCACCCTTCCTCCTCCCCACTCCTCCTCGCCCCGCAGGCCTTCACCTCTGCCTCCCAGGGCCTGCTCAACTGCCTGGTGTACGGCTGGACGCAGCGGCACTTCCGGGCGCTGAGGAGGCGTGGCATGCACGACGTGGACACCCAGACGCCCCTGCTGCGCGCGCAGAAGAAGGGCTACGCCGCCCTGTTCCCTGAAGTTAGCAACACCTAAAGGGGGCGCCACTGAGCTTATCGATGGACACAGCCCTTTTAGCGCCATCCCAGTTTGGAAGATCAGAATGGGTTGAGGAACTGTTGCAGCGACTCCCTGTTGTGTCTGACAACAGACGAAGGATCCCCCTTTTAAAACAGCAATGCAATGTGGCTCTCAGCCAGATGACTGCTATCCAGAGGCCTCTGTGGCAATCCCCACATCCCCATTGGCTCTTAATGGGCAGCGGACCGGGGGAATTAGAGAGGAAGAGAATGACCTGAGGAAGGATCTGAGACCGCAGTGACCACTTTAGCCTAAGCCTGACTCTGTAGCATTTCTGTCATACGTCTGCACCTTTATTTGTATTGATAAAACGTGAATGCAGGTGATGTGCTGTATCGCTGCTGAGAGCAGCATGTACATACGCTGCAGTCTGCTGTGCAAACGCATAAGTGGATCTAAAGGGTGTTTCAGGCAAACAGTTTGCATGGCTGTACCACTGGTTAAGCACCAGCACAGTCTTCAAGAAACTGTTTTCACCCCCATTGCACAGGAGAGGGTAGCCAAATTCACACTTCCAAGGGGTGTGTCTTTAGTGATGTAAGCCCCACTTTATCACTTTTTTGCCGAATCGAATGGCTGGAGCTGAACAAAAGTTCTCAGCTCTTGTCAGAACAACTGTGCCTCTAGGCCATTTCTCTCTGCCTAAACACTCTGCAGCATTCCTTTTCTTGTGTGGCACTTCGCTTTTCATTTCATTGTTTTTCTCAGTCTGGACAAAGAAAACTGGGTCAGTTTTATTTGTTTTGATTGGATACCAACTCAGAACTTTTTGAACTGCTTTTTCTAGTGAATTCAAATCCCTAAATGACTGATTCTGTATGCAGTCCCTCTTTACAGACAGATGTCCATATGGTTTATTATTTAAAGTATAAGTAATTTTAATGAGTATATTTCCTTTTCTTTCTGTGAGTTTTTATTTTGATACTGCTTGAAGATAATCAGCAAGTCATCTTATACTGAACAGAACAGATCATAAAACGAAAGATCGCTTATCACCTCTAGGATTGTCAGCATAGAAAACGACATAACAAATGTAGACATAAATATAAAGAAACTTAAATAACACATGTCACACTGTAAGATGAGGGCTTGGATCCCTGAAGTTAAGTTGCACTAAACTCAACATTATATGGTTAAATTAGCAATAGTGGGCATCTTCTTTTGATTTTGTATTTCTGACTCATACAGTAAAGCTTCAGTCTAAGGTGGCAGGCAGATAATATGAAATACACTTACAGTTTGTCCTAATAGGACTCTCTATACAGACGTTCCTCTACTTACGAATGAGTTATGTTCCTAATGGCCGTTTGTAACTTGAAATGTTCATAAGTCATTATTCAACATCATTTTAAGGGTATACACGAGTACAAAGAACTAGGATGCTGGGAGTACGCACGCTACGCTGCTGGGAGTACGCACGCTACGCTGCTGGGAGTACGCACGCTACGCTGCTGGGAGTACGCACGCTACGCTGCTGGGAGTACGCACGCTACACTGCTGGGAGTACACACGCTACGCTGCTGCGCGGCGGGAATAGCGGCCAGAAGTGGTACTAAACGGAAATGGTGCGCTGAAAAAAAAACTGATGTTGTGGACAGGAAATGGGAGCCCAAGGAACACAATTTGGACTTACAGTCCTCTTCGTTCGTATGTCTGAAAGTTCCTAAGTAGAGGAGCGTCTGTATTCTATTAGTCAATTTGTGTGCCTGTATTTAGCATAATCAAAAACGCATAGTAAGCAGGAGCAGCCAATGAGCTGGTTAGTGTAACTTGGGGTTAATTGACAATATAGACCAAATGCCAGATGTAAGGCTGTGTTTTGGGGTATTCAGGGTGTACACTGGTGGCCAAAATTGTGGAAACACTTCCAGTTTTTAGAGATTGCAGAACTTTATTCAACTGTTGTTCCAGTTACTTATTTAATCGTCCAATGTAAGTTATTTATAAACATTCTTTGATTGTTGACATTACTACCAAAAATGCTAGGTGTTTCCACAATTTTGGCCAATAGTGTATGTAACCTAGTATAGTAGTCTTAGAATTTCTCTGTCCTTAAGAATCACCAACATTTCCTTATAAATCAGTTTTAAAGATCCACTTTATAATGGAAATAATGTACAGTAGAAAGCATGGTCAGCCAGCAGTCTGAGGCTATGGGCCTTACTCAAGGGTGCAATTTTGATCACTGTGCCTGTCATGGGATTTGAAGCAGCAATCTTCTGATTACTTGCACAGAATCTAACCAAGTGAGTCACATACTATCCCAGCCCTCCATTAAAGGTGAGTTTAGTGTAAATCTTGAACATCATCCTTGTGTCCCTATGTAGGTAGGCATGTAAAAAAATGGCTGAACAAAAGCCAGTATTACAGGCCTGTTTGATTCTCATTATATTGTTACAAATTATAATGATAGGTTACTTTATTATGTAGGATCCATGGTAGTTCAGTGATGGACATAAGGAAGAATAAGTCTATTTCAATACTACATTGTCATAACACTGTCAAAAGCTGTTACAGCAAACAACAGTCAGTTGTCACTGAAGTACCAATTCAGATGTTAACATGATAGCTCAGTGGAAGCACAATACCGTAGGATTGGTGCAATCTGTATTCTACTTTGAAATATTTTGATACTTGGTGGATGCGTCATTTACTCCATATATGCCTCAATGTGGAAAAAAAAGGTTTGTAACACACACTGATGAATATAAAATGATTACAGGAGAGGTAAAAAGAAAAAACTTAAAGCACCTGAACTATATATGGCTCCAACACGTTGTAACTCCCATCATACAGAAAATTGATCTATTTAAACAGTAGATGGCGTCTTATTTTCAGCCCTAATTATTACAGCATTTTTCTGTCCTGTTAAAATACAATTGACCTAGTTTAAACGGAGTTTTATTATTATTATTATTATTATTATTATTACATTATAGATGCTTCCTATAACCCTGGCAGTCGCTATTTTGTCTCATATAATGCTCAGTACATTCCCAAATTCTCTGCGACCTTCTTGTAGCCCATAACACGTGACATAAAAATGACGTTGCATTTTGGTCACATGATCAGCATGGTCTCTATGCTATGTTTGTCTAAAGGTTGTCTTGTTGGTGAGAAGTTAGGTTTCTTAACCAGAAGATAAGTTTAAACTGTTTCTTTTTACTACAAACATACAATTTAAAGGAAAACTGATGATCTTCAAATTATATTAAAGTGGCAGGTAAAATAACATTGCCAGTACGTCAAACTAACTGTTAATTTAGTGATGATTGGCTAATCGCTATAGCGCATATGCTATCGAGAATGCCTATCACCTTGTTCTTTAACGTTTATGATATAAATCATTTTCAGTATATTACAATTCAGTTGCACATTTAGTCGAATTTGCTAAATAAAACGGCTTTCACACTGGGACAATTTTTTAACTTTATGCACTGTACTAAATATGACAGTAAAACACTCCAGTAAAATATGACAGCTAAAATCCGTGTTAAAACTATCTGTAGCTCGTCGTAATGCATAGTCAGTTCAACAAATATAATGTTTAATATTGTTCATGTACACGAAATGCACATTTTGCAACTGAAACCTAACCAGTTAATTAACCATTGTCTTTTTTATGTATATGTACTCAGATGGTCTACAGATATGATATATGCGACTGGGTTAGTTTCCCTGGGGTGTACGGTGGTATGCAGGAGCCGCCTACCATGGCACCTTCTGGCAGGATGTCACAGGAGATATACAGCTACACCGCGATACAAAGCTGTCATTTTTGACATGGGTGGCGTCCTGTTGCCGTCACCTTTCCACAAGGCGACAGGTAAATGTGGAGATGCAGCCGAAAATGCGATAATTTCTGGTATTTTCAGTACTCACAGAAAGTATTGGGATGCCTGCTTAATTCAGTAAAAGTATTGCAGATGTATTGGATTTCTAACAAGAATCATTACTTTGTTCATTTGTTTAAAACGTATATATCACATTTGAATCAACCAGTACTTTTAAGTAAAACATTAATTTCATGTAATAATATCCAAATTACAGGTATAAAAGAGCTGTCCTATCGAGTTTAATGGTTCATTGGCAAGTAGTCTCATTGGGAGCCTTTTAATTAGTAACACCTTTGCAGTAACATAAAACACCAAACATTTGTGTTTAGTATCCCTTTGGGAGCCATTGATAAAAAAAGAAAGTGTCTGTGCTGACGATATGTGCAGATATGTTAAACATTGCTTATCAATGGACTTGTAATGAAACTAATTAATTTGCAACATTTTCACAGAATTAAGTAAGCAGCCCAAAACTTTCTGTGAGCCTGTATTATCAGTTACTACCACACATTCGGTGTGTCCTTGTTATTTTTGAAGTTCTAAGTTAATTTTTTGTTGAAATTATTAAATATGTTGATTTAAAAATAATCATTTCCTGTTAAGAGTGGGAGCAGGAAAATGGCATCCCAGGTGGTACAATCGCCCAGGCTATCAAAACCGGTGGCGAGAACAATTCCTGGAGGAAGTTCATGCGTGGAGAGATGGATGCACAGCTCTTTGTGGAAGCCTTCAGCAAGGAGTGTGCAGACTTGGTACGTTAGTGTCCTCTAATGGGACATGGTAGCATTTAGTTTTTTATGTTTTTAAGCAGTTCTTGTCCTGAGTTGTCTATACTATATTAGCAGCTGTACAGATAGGTCTGTTGATGAGTAATAAGCTCACAGCAGCAAAGTCCAGCTGGTACATGCACTGATTTACAGATGGAGCAAGTGAGGCTGTGAAATGAAGCAAACCCAGGTGTAATCTGCCCTCTAGAGGCCGAGTTTGAGATTACTCTTCTGTATGTGTTTTCTTACTCATCATTTTTTTAATCCTCCCGTAAACCCCCCACCCAAGGCTGGCCGCCCTGTCTCTGCTGCCTCCTTCGTTTCTGCCCTGACCAGTGGGCCCATGGCTCAGACACACCCCGCCATGATGGAGGCCATTCAGTGCATCCGTGCCGAGGGCCTCAGGACTGCCGTCCTCAGCAACAACTTCTTCCTGTCAGACGGAAACTCGTACCTGCCGCTTGACCGCTCCCTGTTTGACGTGGTGAGCTTCAGCCTCACTTTAAGACCATATCGAGTGTGAACAAGGATGTGTTGTAACTGCCTTACAAATAAGCCAGTTCTCGCTTTATTTAATTAGTGCAGATAAAGACTTTTACTACAGAAGAGGGAACGCCTGAGGTGATAGAGCACAGCTAGGCAGTATTAAATGCAAGAATACAGAGGCAATAGATCGAACAAAGTCTGTAAACTGACAGTAGTAAATGGCCTATAAATGTACTGCACTACAGTACAGTATACAAGTGCGGCATGTATACAGGGCAGTATAAAGAAACACACAGTGTGCATTACAGGACAGCAAAGGTTAAGCCAGACAGCAGAGAGCCGTATGAGACTGAGCAGCCTGATAGGGCAAGTTACATTTTTACTGTAATCTGTGTAGTAGCATGAAATGCATAGAGAGACATAAAGTCAGGAGAAACAGTTCCTGAGTGATAAATGGCAATTCAGAAAAAAAGCTGTTTGTTCTGACCAACAAATTAATTAATAATGAGTCCTACCAACATCGTGATAAGTTGATTGATTGATTGATTGATTGATTGATTGGTTAGTTGATTAGGCTGTTCTGTAGCTTAGCTACAATTTAGCAATTTTAAGGGCACAGTCCCTTTGTGTTGTGTTGTGTTGTGTTGTATCATATCATTCTTCTCATTGTGGAGATCGTGGAGTCATGTCTGGAGGCTGTGTGCAAGCCGGATCCCAGGATCTACCACCTGTGCCTCGAGAGACTTGGAGTCTTGCCACAGGAAGCGGTGTTTCTGGATGACATTGGATCCAATGCCAAGGCTGCCGCCCAGCTGGGTCTGCATGCAATCAAGGTACTTGAGTTACTTTGCTGTGCGGCTGGGTTTGCTTCCTTAGCAATGTGCAATACAGGGTGATACTGTACCCTGCTACGCTGATATTCTTGTGCAATATTGTGTACAGTACACGCGTCAGAGAAAGAGGGTAAGCATTTGTCTTACCCTATGACTCCCCAGGTCATGGGGCCTGACTCGGCAATAAAGGAGCTCAGTGCAGTGCTAGGCTTCCCACTGGCAGGCTTTGTGAGGGGGACCCGCAGTGTGAGGAAGACCATGCAGTTGCCTATGGACCAGCTAACTCATTACCTCCAAGAAGTCCTCCACTTGCCTAGCACAGGTAACCTGCCCCTGTTACACAGGAGCACATCATTCTTGACATCAAGACATACTCATTTGTTAGGTCGCCCATTCTCTGGCTAGCTGGCTAGATGTTGTCTTATTTTGTAGATGTTTTTCTTCCAAAATGAAGCAAAATAATGTCCTGAAATGTTTGTTTTACTGCTGCCCTTGAAACATTATTACAAGATTTCATTTTCTGCTGGTGTACATTTATGTACAAGTTAAGTATAAATCCTTAAATATTATGTCTCCGGTATATATAGTGACATTGTCTTCTACCTGGTGTCCACAACATGAAATGAGTATTGAGCTTGAAATGGTCACAGTCTTTTACCACACACAGATACCTTACACAGGTACTCAAGCTGACAGTCATAATATTCACCACTCCATACAGGCACTAGACCATGTGTCAATGTTCACCATATGACATGGGCACTCAATCTAATAGAGTGTTTACTTTATGATACAGCCACTAGATTCGCTCAAACTGACACAATCACAATGTCAGTCTGATGTTACTGACAGTCAGCCTGACACAGTCGCAATGTCAGCTTTATGATATGGACAGTCAGCCTGACACAGTCGCAATGTCCTTCTTGGGAGATAATGCCTTCCATCACAGGGTTCATCATAAGCATTGTGGGCATATATGTCCTGTATATTGGCCATTGTAGGTATTTGTACACTGTATATTGGCCATTGCTGACCCCGTGGCTTCCTGTGCACCAGAGCCGGTGACCCTGCGCCAGTTCTGCCACGGGCAGTCCAACCCCACCTACCTGGTGACCTGTGGGGGGCAACGTGTGGTTCTCAGGAAGAAGCCGCCGGGGAAGCTGCTGCCCTCAGCTCATGCCGTGGAGAGGGAATTCAGGCACGTTCACATACTCCAAATTCCCCCCTCTTACCTTCTGCAACAGGCTCCCATTCTGGCTTTCATTGGGGCATTCGGGTCTGTTTTCTTAGTCCTAGTTTGAAGGAAGGGATCTGTGCTATTCACTCCGCAGGGTCCTAAAGGCCCTTGGGCACGCTGGCGTGCCTGTCCCTGAGGTCATCGCCCTCTGTGAGGACGCAAGGTGAGCTTGTCCCAATTCTTCCTGCATCTTTTTCCTGGATAAGCTTCAGACTCACTGCCATGATCCCTGTGATTAGTGCTTATGGAAAATGGATCGATAGCTTCTTAGGATTTACAGTTGTACACACTGGGTGTAGGAGAATTAAATATAATTACAAGCAATATGAGCTAAATAGCCTTTTATTGTTAGTGGGACTTTTCTTGTTGGCTTGTATGAATATGCAATTTACAGATGCACATATATATGTGTGTGCCGTATATCTGTATTTTACTGAAGAAACGGCTTGAAATCTAAGCTTAACAAAGTCCCATTGAGGAAAGTGACTTAAAGAACAGCCCCAATAAATACAGTCATTTTATCAGTGTGTTATTGATTATCGGTGATTGACATTTTTTTAGCTTTAGATTTACTTTTGAAAATCTACGTAAATCCCTTTTGTTAGAGCAGGATAAATCACTGCGCGATTTTGTGGACCTTGAAGACCCGAAGCCCACGTTTTGAGCTATATTGCTGGCTGCTGTTAGCTGTGCTCCTTCTCTGCGTTTGATCGCTCTCTCCTCACTACCTCTCATCGCTGTGTCTCTCCTTACTATCTCTCTTCCTCCTGTCCCGGTCCAGTGTCCTTGGCACCCCCTTCTACCTGATGCAGTACTGCCCAGGAAGGGTGTTCCAGGACCCCTCCCTGCCAGGCCTGAGCCCGCAGGAGCGGGGGGAGGTGTACCAGGCTATGACACGCGTCCTCTGTCAGATCCACAGCGTGGACATTGAGGCTGCGGGGCTGTCCGACTTCGGCAAGCCAGGCAGGGCACCCCCGCATGGCATTCTTCTGACCTGCGTGACCATTCCAGCAGACCGGTGATCAATAGCTTTACCAGTGACTCCCCCCTGCCCACCCCCCAGGTGAGTACGTTGCACGGCAGGTGCACCGGTGGACGAAGCAGTACAGGGCCAGCGAGACGCGGCGTATCCCCGCCATGGAGCGGCTGATGGAGTGGTTCCCACAACACCTGCCGAGGCTGCAGAGGAATGCGGTGGTGCACGGGGATTTCAGGTGCCAGCTGCACATGCTCATACCACAGCACACCCCCCATACTCACATTCGTGCTGTATATATTTCTGCATTTCTTTTTACTGGGGGCTGCTCATTCATTCTCACCTTAATGAAGCTACAGGAATGTGTTATTTTGTATTCCCAACTATAAATATTGCTGGATACTCACACACAGACTGATACAGCAGGCACAAGAACACACACACTGACACAGCAGGCACAAGCACACAGACTGACACAGCAGGCACAAGCACACAGACTGACAGCAGGCACATGCACACACAGACTGACACAGCAGGCACATGCACACACAGACTGACACAGCAGGCACATGCACACACAGACTGACACAGCAGGCATCTGTGTCTATCCAGACTAGATAACCTGGTGTTTGACGCTGAGAAGCCGGAGGTGGTATCAGTCCTGGACTGGGAGCTGTCCACACTGGGGGACCCCCTCGCTGACCTGGCCTCCAGCTGCATGGCCCACTACCTCCCCCCAGACTTCCCTGTCCTCAGAGGTATTGGGGGGGGGGGGGGGGCTTAAACTACATTATCGATCCAGATTCTAGGAACGTACAACAAATCAAAGCAGTGCTGTGGAATTTGGATTTATGGCAAATCAATCGTAATGCTTATCAGTCTATCATCTTAAAATTTTGCAATAAAATGCAAGTTTTTATGAAGGTGAAATATTGTTACATATACATATGATGTTCATTCTTAGCAGATAAATTTCCGAGATATTCTGCTCTTTGTCATCTGAAACACTCTCAGTTCCTGTGCAGTAATGTGCAGTAACCAGGGTTTCTACGCAGTATGGGAAAGTATGGAATTCGCTTTTTGCGTTTTCTGAGTCTGGATAAGTATGGAAAAAGGAAAGTATGAAAATATTTCCAGTAAATTGCAGCAAATTCGTCTACTGTGTGTTCTAAAAAAAATCTTAATTCACTTATTGATGCTTTTGATGACATCACCAGTTTGAGCTTGTCATCAGCATCAGAATGTGCACAGGGCAAACAGTGAAGAGCAGCATCCGAAACCAAGCAGTGGGGGTGTGTCTGAGGGGTGTGCGTTCGATTAATCTTCAGCAAGGTATATTGTTGTGGGCTACCTTGCAGTTTAAAACACTCATAATGGGGAAATGCATGTTCTCACCTTCTTGACTTGCCAATATTTGCCTAACATTGTTACTAGTTCACTCGGGATCCAAAATGTTAGCAGAAAGTAAAATGCAGCGTGTAAAGTTGCTTGACATTTTGAACATCGGCAAGTTGTTAACCACATGGTGGACAGATGCATTGGCGTCTAGTCGCAGCCCGTGGAGGGCAAGCAGGGTAAGATGGGCATGTGGTCAGGGTGGCATTTTCTGGTAAAAGCATTTATAAAATATATAAAATATAAAAGCAGCAGATTACCTAGTGAAGATTCATGTAGGCAGATCCAAGGGGAATCAAACCTACAACCCTGGAGTTATGGACCTACGGTGCTACCCACTGGAGGATTGTGGGCAGCACTGACCCTGCTGTTGCTGCTTCTGTTCTTGCCTAGGGATTAGCCAGTGTGACCTGGCTGAAATGGGCATCCCCCCAGCAGAGGAAATCTTCAGCCAGTACGCCAGGGCCATGGGACTGGGCAGCATAGATGACTGGCAGCTGTACATGGCCTTCTCCTTCTTCAGGGTGGCAGCCATCCTGCAGGGTGTCTACCAGCGCTCCCTGAAAGGTACCCGTGTGGGAACAGCCAGTCACATCAGTCACCCAGGCTGGCATTGCAGAGTTGTGATTGGCAAACCAGTAGTAGCGTTCCAGTAAGTCACACTGCACCCAAAATAGCTCCTCGTTTCTAAACATGCGGTATCTGAAATTTTTACTTATTCAAACTTGAAAAATTAGGACTCAAGTTTTCCATTTGTTTGAAACTGATAGGGGAACCACACACCAGTTCACTAATGTTATGGAATTTGTGCTATGTTCTTTTATTTTTCTCCTGAAGAGCATGCTCCCATGTTACTCTGCTTGTGATATTCATGTGTAAGTAGATGTGTGTCTTGCAGCATGTGTGTCCAGTTGACTCTGTGTATGATATTTATCTGTGTGTAGATGTGATCGGTGTGTCACTCTGCTTGTGACATACAGGACAGGCGAGCTCTGCCAGTGCTGGAAGTGTGGGTCAGCTGGCTGAGCAGATGGCAGATCTGGCCTGGGACTTTGCCACTAAGGAGGGCTTCCACATCTTCAACGCTCTGCCCCGGGGGCCCCAACCAGGGGATGGCCCCTCCTCTCAGAGGCGGAGTTTCTGTACCAGGGTGGGATCTCCACAGGCCACGCCCCCTCATATGAGCTCCGCCCCTAGGGATCCCTCTCGGCCCCAGCATTGCTCAGGAGCCGCTGGTCTTTTAGTGGTCTCACCTGAGGGTCTGCCTCCGCGGGTCCAGGAGCTGCACCGTCACCTGTGGCAGTTTGTGAACGAACGAATCCTCCCCATGGAGCAGCACCTGAGAGACCACCAGCTGTCCCCTGATGGGTGGAGCCCCCACCCCCTCATTGAGGAGCTGAAGGTGCGTCTCGGCTCGCTTTGTTTTCCACGTCTGGGGTGCTATAAACTCCACCAGCTATTTTCCCATTGGTAATCATTTGCTTTTTTGGCTATTGCCATTTTATAATATGACATACAGTCAAACCTCAGATTGCGAGTAACTTGGTTTGCAAGTGTTTTGCAAGACGAGCAAAATTTTTAAATAAATTTTAACTTGATAAACGAGTGAGGTCTTGCAATACGAGTATTACACATACACTTTGTCTGCCGAGCGTCACGTAATCACAACTGAGCCGATGGTTCTTCTCTCTCTCTCGCTGCGGGATTGTGGGTAATCGTCTCCCATGCTCGGTCTCAGTCGGCGTCCTTCACTTCGAATAGTCAATATTTAGTAGAAAAGCACCACCCGAATAAGGGTGTAGCAGTGCGAGCAATGAATCTGTTTAACGACAATGCAATGTCACATTTCCGCGAAATCGAAAAGGAGGCAAAAGCAGCTGTCACTGGATGGGTTCCTTGTTAAAGTCGCACAAAAAACAAAAGATTCCAGTGAGCCAACTGATAGCAGTGATTCCGTTAGTTATAGTGAAAGTCGTCCTACAAAAAAACCCTCCTCTTCTCCTCTCTCATCTCCCTCACACCATCCACGATTCTCTTCAAAGGTAAAGTGCAGGTTAATTTGTTTTATGTATCTTTACTTTATATTTTGTATTAATAATTTTTATATGAATATTTTTGGGTTGTGGAACGAATCATCTGAGTTTCCGTTATTTCTAATGGGAAAATTCGATTTGATATACGAGTGCTTTGGATTACGAGCACGTTTCCGGAACGAATTATGCTCGCAAATCGAGGTATTTAATTTTTGCCCTTTTACTTCTGTTCTGCTTTAGGCTGAATAATAGATGACCCCCCCACTTTTTCAGCAACTATATATGGCAAAAATTTTTTGAAACACCAAATCTTATCTTTATAAGAATTTGATTTTACAGGAACACATAAGAAGTTAATCATCTCATTGCTAAAGATTAACCACACAATCAGATTACAATAGGTGTGTTAAACAGGAAACATTCCATTAAACAAATGTATTGTTTGGGGGGGGGATGATAGTCAATATTACAAACTCCACAACACTAGAGGGCGCAGAATGTTTTCCATGCAGCAGACACACACACAAAGAGGCCAAAAAATGCATTGTGGAAGTGGTTGAGTCATTTTAATAAAGGCTGCTCTCTTTATTGACAGCCATCATTTACGCAACACTATTCATCATTAACGAAACACACTATTCATGTAACCGCTGAGCAGACTCTTGCCGTCTCTCTGCAGGGACTGGCCAAGGCTCAGGGCCTCTGGAACCTTTTTATCCCTGTCGAGATGGACCCCGAGGGTCACTATGGGGCAGGACTGACAAACATGGAGTATGCCTACCTGGCCGAGATCATGGGGCACTCGGTATATGCTCCTGAGGTGAGAGGTATTATGGGAAAACAACTCCTCGCCATAATTGGCTGTTTTTATTTTGATGGGTTACTATAAATATTAATGATGGCATCTTAGTTGGGTACCCCTAAATGAATGGATGAAAATAATTAATCTGTCTTATTTCAGTTGAGTTTTTTTGTTTTAATATGGTTTGCTGTTTCTTTCTCTAATTTATGGTTTGAACCTCAAGGCTGTTTTATTCGGAGTCTGGTGCAAAGTTTTCAGCTGAAGCAACGCATTTGTCTGTGTGCGCGCAGGTGTTTAACTGCTCTGCCCCAGACACCGGCAACATGGAGGTGCTGATTCGCTACGGGACCCAGCAGCAACAGGAGCAGTGGCTGCACCCCCTGCTGGACGGCACCATCCGCTCCTGCTTCGCCATGACAGAGCCCAATGTTAGATATCACTCCCCCCTCCCCCCTGTGAACGCACTGACATACTGCGCTATCTTGACTCTGCACTGAAACTTCCACCAAAAGTCTGAGGTCTGATATCTCCTGCATGGCACAGATACCGTTTAAAAAGCAAAGACAAAAACAGAATCCATCCAGTCACCCATCTTCCGTAACCACTACTCCAGTGGAGTCTGTGCAGGGGAGCCCAGCGCACAATACAGAGGGACACCCTGGATAGAATGACCATCTGTCACAGGGCACACTTGGGCACTCACACAGTGTTGGCAGGTACACACATTCATCCATCCAACCACACGTCTTGGGGCTGTGGGAGGAAACACACACCAAAACAGGGAGACGACGCCGACTCCACACACACGACCGGGCACAAGAACCCAGAATCCTGGAGGTATGAGGCTCCAGTGCCAATCTCTGCGCCACCTGCCAACAGCAGCACACACATCATTATTATTATCTGATACTTGTCCAAAATGAGATTAATATCTCGTATTAATAGTGTGCTAGATTAGGCATGTAATTCGAAGGTCCAAAAGACGATCCCTTCTCATGATTGCAAGCTGCAGTCTTTTGGTTGAATGTTCAGTTCCTAAACCACACACGTCTAACACAGGCGTGTCTCTTCATGCAACAGGTGGCTTCTTCTGATGCAACCAATATCCAAGCCTCCATCACAGAGGACAAGGACTCCTACATTCTCAATGGACGCAAGTGGTGGACTTCAGGTGCTTTTTGACCATTTAAAGTAAAGTAAACAACTGAGTTGTAAAATCCAGCATCTTGTGTTCTTACTTCCTAGTTGTTTTGAAATTGGTGGACACAAAATTGAGGTCTTAATTCAGTATTTATAATATTTATAATGCTGGTCTTTAATAAATAGGATCAAGCTCAGAGAGATGCACTTTTTCCCTTATTTCAATACAAATGGAATTCTTCCCATAATCCCCCACAGGTGCCCTGGACCCTCGCTGCAAGCTGTGCATCTTCATGGGAAAGACGGACCCCTCGGCTGCCCGTCACCGACAGCAGTCCATGGTTCTTGTTCCCATGGACACCCCTGGGGTGACGGTGCTCCGACCCCTGTCTGTATATGGGATGCAGGACCCCCCTGGTGAGAATCCTATCCAGTAATACAGCAGAACTTCATTTCAGATTTCACTGTGGGACCATCTCAGAGAACATATTTCTGATATAGGTAAAACTGTAATGGAATTAAGATTATCTTAAATAGCTTTATAGAAACAATAGAAAAGAATGCCTTTGTTGTGTGCAATGACAATGAAGTATTCTGTTATAAGTAACTTGATAGTAACAGTGGCTTAGTTGATATGAAAAACAGCTTTTAGTTGTGGTTTTTAATGGCATATGTTGCTGATTTAATGTCAGAGTGGACTAGCTTTTATGGATGAATGTATTGAAGTTTGTTATAAAGGTACAGTCATCTCCCATTTGTGCTGCAGACAGATGTGTCTGTGGTTCTACAGACAGGCCGCTTGCCCCATATGGTACAGTCCATTTACTAATTAGTATTCCTTGTTATCGACATTCTTTTGCATTTTGAATTGCATGTGTATGGCCAGGGCACTGAAAGGGCACTGTCTTATCACATGTGCAGCACTGAGGCACACTTTAGCGTATCTCTCGTGATAAAGTGTGCTGTAAAGGTTTATTTGATGGTTCAAAGTTCACCTTAATTCCCGTATTAACACGTGAGTGGTCGAGAGCAGTACCCTGTAGAAATCATGTACACCGCTCAAAAAAATTAAAGGAATACTTTGTAAACATATTAAATCTCAATGGGAAAAAAATCTGTACTGATATGGACTGGGTAATGTGTTAGAAATGAAAGGATGCTACGTCGTTTGATGGAAATGAAAATGATCAACCTACAGAGGCTGAATTCAAAGATCAAAGTGAAAAAATGGTGCGGCAGGCTAGTCCATTTTGCCGAAATTTCATTGCAGCAACTGAAAATCATATTCAGTAGTTTGTATGGCACCCACAGGCTTGTATGCGTGCCTGACAATGTCGGGGCTGCTCCTGATGAGACGACGGATGGTGTCCTGGGGGATCTCCTCCCAGATCTAGGCCAGGGCATCACTGAGCTCCTGGACAGTCTGAGGTGCAACCTGGTGGCGTTGGATGTCCCAGAGGTGTTCTAATAGATTTAGATCAGGCGAGCATGGGGGCCAGTCAATGGTATCAATTGATCCTCCAGGAACTGCCTGCATACTCTCGTCACACGAGGCCGGGCATTGTCGCGCACCAGGAGGAACCCAGGACCCACTGCACCAGCATAGTACTTTGGAGTACTTTTCTCTCTCTCCACCAGGGGGCCACGCCGAGCTCCAGTTTGACAATGTTCGTGTGCCACGGAGCAACATACTCTTGGGTCCTGGCCGGGGATTTGAGATTGCCCAGGGTCGTTTGGGGCCAGGTCGTATTCACCACTGCATGCGACTGGTGGGACATGCCGAGAGGGCCCTGGCACTCATGAAGGAGCGGGTGAGAGAAGGCGGGGCCATTTATCCTCCCAGCATTGTGATTGGCTCTCTCATTCACATATTTATATCTGTTACCATAAAGCAGTAAATGAGGCAATTGTTTCTACTGTCAAAATAAACAGGAATGACAAGAAAAGTGTTACAAAAAAATCACAAAGCATAAAGCCAACAAGTTGTTTAGTTTTCATTTACAATACAATTAGCCTGTTTATTCCTGTCTTTCATGCTGTTTGAACAGCTATGATACCGAATTATATGGATTATACAGTAAGTTGGCTACCACCTTTCAAACACTGATATTTCTGTAGGTGAGAACACGTGTGGCTTTCGGCAGGCCTCTAGTGGAGCAGGGCACTATCCTGGCCAGTATAGCCCAGTCCCGCTTGGAGATTGAACAAGCCAGGCTCCTGGTGCTCAAGGCTGCTCTCCTCATGGACACAGTGGGGAACAAGGTGAGCAGACCTCCATCTGTGGGCCATGACCCCATAAGCCAGAAGGTGAGCAGGCCTGCATCTGTGGGCCATGACCCCATAAGCCAGAAGGTGAGCAGGCCTGCATCTGTGGGCCATGACCCCATAAGCCAGAAGGTGAGCAGGCCTGCATCTGTGGGCCATGACCCCATAAGGCAGAAGGTGAGCAGGCCT